AATCCGGACAATCTCACGACCAAGCATTACCTATATGGGTATTCATCTACGGCAAAAAGGAAATACACACGATGTCGATGCTCAAAACGTGGTTATTATATCAAAACTCAATAGCGATATTAATGACATCAGAGACAGCATCACTAATATGACAATTTATTACAAAGGCCCACTGGCACACAACAACGAATCAAAAATAAAATTTCGCGTCAGTGGAACACCAGAACACAGATACGTGTGGCAAAGTAGCGCTGATGATTTTACAGTGAATTCATGTGATAACACAAAATTAATAATCAAAAATCCTGGTTTATACCTTATCACATTCCTCGATGGCGCGAAAAGTGAACATTTGTCACATCTTGTGTTCCTTCTGAGTAGCCCATTCCAGTGCGAACTGACGGCAGCGGCATTAAGATTCAACTTCAGAACACTCACAATTCTTGGGTGACAATAGCCAACACAGTAATGTTAGATATCAGGGAAGGCGCATCTCTTACATTAGAGGCAGATAATTGTAAGACGCTTTTCGATGGATTACAATACAGTTATATTATGATAGTCAAACAAAATTAATGTATCCAATATTTATGAGGTTACGAAGGAAAAGAATATATTCAATTGGAATCACATATCGGACAAACTAACTAAAGACCGAATCAATGAGTTGAAAACTTTATACAGATTCTATCAAAAGAAATATTGGATTTATAAGACTATGCTTAAAAATCTCAGCAGGAAACATATTACAAGTCAGGTCACATCTATCGATCTCGTCGTTATTGGAACTATTGCTGGTGGTGTTACATTAAATACAATTATCCTCGGAACTGTGTCTGGGTCTGGACTCTTATTAAAAACACTCTTAAAATTAACATCAAAAGGAAAAAGAAATTTTATTCCTTCTCTGATTACCAAACCATATTTATTTTTCAATCTTGATACACCTTTTTTAAATTCATCTGTAAAAAAAATCTCCCCAAAGCATACTAATCCAATGTCCTTAAACCAAAACATCCAATATAATTGCAACAATTATTTCATAATATTCAAAACAAAAAAAAATTCAAACTTTTAAATCCACGTAGATCATTCCTAAAAATCATAATATGATATTTTTCTTCAATAAACCTTTTAATAGAATACAAATTGATCAAGATCAAATCAGATAAAACATAATTTTTAATACCCATTCTCATAAAAGTTTTATATACGTATGGAATTCTTTTCTTCTCTCTTTTGTCAATAAGTGGACCAGACATCAAATCAACTTCAATCAATTCTTCGTACCATCGAATAGAAAGCTCTCCATAAGTTAAAGCCCTTTCATAATATTCAAAACTATCAAATCGAGATTGACATTCCTTATTAATTAGTCATATAACGATCATCACAAAAAAAAACCAATAAAATTCAGGCAAATGATTATCTTCATCTATTTCATCATGAATTTTATCAGTACATCGACATAATGTTGATACCAATCCATTATTTTCTTTTATCAAACGTTCTTTAACTTTACCCATTATTTATATCTATATTATATAATATATAAGAAAATATTTGAAGTATTTCCAAGATTATTCATCAATCAAATTAACTAAATTCTCATTTTCTTCTGAATAAATTGATATTCAATATCCTTAACAATCATATACAACGCCACGATAAAAGTCAACATCTATATATCTATTAATGATATTACTTTTTCACAAGTTTCAATAAGTTTTATGAAGCCGCCATTTTGAATTCTTGGAATTTTTGAAATTCTTGGAATTATCGCGAGTCTCCGTTTTTGGATTCCGACTTTGTTGATAACTGTTTTTCAATATAGTTTCCAAATTTCTTGATTTTTTTAATTTTGGATTTTGGATTTTGATATCAGATTTTTATAGAGCAATTTTTCGGATTTTGAAAACCCTAAGTTTGCAAAGAGTCAGACACCCCAACTACTATACTACTCTTTAGACGTTTTATTGTCGATCCTATAGGCTCTCACGGGGCTTATAACTAATGGACTTTTAACAAATAAATCTTACCAGCAAAGCTTTGAGCAAATCTTTGATAGAACTTATAAGGGAACCTATAAACACTCATATCAGTAAAAGTATAAGTCAATTGTAAGCTTAAAACAAAATAAACGAGCAAACGGGCATGAAATATTCCACAATAGTAGAAATGATCACGAAAGATGATTGTGGAAAAGCGATTGCCTCACACTCGGTAAGTTGTGGGATGATGTTACGTATCCGACGAAAAAACAGTTTTTAAAATTCTCGGTCTGCAGTCTACAGTCTACATTTTGTGTCTAGTATGCATTTTGTGTCTAGTACCCAGTCTGCGGTCTGCGGTCCGCAGTTTTGCACCGAGAGATAGCTAAAATGTGAATTCTGACCATTCACCCAATATCACCCAAGCAGTTCAAAGTAATTCAAAGTAGTGTCAACTCGATCCGAGAGTTACCCATTGGCTGCCTGTGTTGAAATGTAAAAGTGCATGTTTTTTAAACGGAATCTGTTTATCATCAAAACCCATTTTAACGTAATGTATCTACGACTTATTAAACTTACCCTCCCCATGGCTAATGAAACCTATCCAAAAAGCACACGGGGCATAAGGCAAACAGTATGTAACAAGAAACTTAACCTCTGCTCCCAGTTGGCTTGTTAGCTCAATTGGTAGAGCGCTGCACTAGTATCGCAGAGGTCAGTGGCTCGAATCCCGTACAGGCCTGATTATTTTCAGGTCTGATTTTCGCTATTGCTTAAATAACGCTATCTACTGCGAGGATCGTGCATCATATGTATCTAATACCGCAGTACAAAATATATGAACTTCATATATTTCATTGTATCTCAAGAAACTTAAATCAGGATGAGATCTGAAGGTGCTTTTAGTGTTCTATTGTTTTAATATCATTATTATTATTATTATTAGTAGTAGTAGTAGTAGTAGTAGTAGTAGTAGTAGTAGTAGTAATAGTAGTAGTAGTAGTAGTAGTAGTAGTAGTAGTAGTAGTAGTAGTAGTAGTAGCAGTAGTACTAGTAAGTGTCGAAAGCCCACCCCAAGATCATTTTGAGATGCCAGGGTGTTTACCTGATTATGAACCCGTGAGAAGGCCTTCAAGTGTTATTGGGGCGCAAAAGTGACGGAGCGGAAATTTGGCTAAATACAACAGCTATTGCCAATGCGTACAATGAAGTGACGACCTGGCGGAAGAACACCTTTCTAGTCCTATATGGGAAAATTGGTCGCGATTTTTTTCACCAAGTAGCCAAGCACATTAATGACTGGAACAATAAATCGGAAATGCACCATATAGCTCTAACAGCGGCCATTGTTCTTTCAGCATTGGCGCTGCAAAAAGCTAGTAAAGGTTCAAAAGCGAAAGATCATCAAGGGTACTTGTCAAGGAGGTTAGCTCTATGGAAAAAGGGCGAGATAGACACGCTCCTACGCGAAAGGCGAATGATACAAAAGCGCCTCACAAAGCCTCGAAGGAATGATCCACCGAATAAAGCTATGATGTTCGCAAAACTGGTGTCGGGGGCTCAGGTAAATTCCGCTTTTCGGTACCTTATTGAACAGGACTCTGGGGGCATTCTTTCACCCACTGATGATGTAATGATCCACCTTCAGGATAAACATCGGAGTATACAGAAATAATTTGGATCTATCCACAAAGTTGAAGTGGTAAATTGGCCAACGTAACGATTACAAAAGCTGACGTTTCGAGCGTTAGCCCTTCGTCGGAGCGAATAGAGGAATTGTGGGTTGTGTGTGCTACGGAGCTACGTTATTGGTGGGAACATGGCAACGAGAAAAACAAGAATAAATTAGTGGAATGAAAAGCGTTCGTTAATCCCTGTGGGAGTTAGACTGCCGGTTTGAAAGATGAGCCTTTGTTCAAGATTTTTGCGGCGTGTACAGAAAGCCCAGCTAGGATCCCTGGTCTTTGGCCCATTCGATGATATCCCTCATGTTATCTATCACCAAATAAATGGAGAAATGATAAAAGAAGCGGCACTTAAGACAAAAGGTTCTGGCGTTCCCTCGGGGATAGATGCAAATGGCTTTAGAGGAATGCTCGCTAGCAAGTCCTTTAAGTCCAGTGCAAGTCTTTGCGACGCCATAGCCATGCTTGCTAAGAGACTTTGTACAGAGCTTGTTGCTCCTGCTACAATCGAACCAATTTTGGCAAATCGACTAATTCCACTCGACAAGGGCAATGACGAGGTGCGACCGATCGGAGTCGGAGAGGTGGTGAGGAGAATAATCGCCAAGTGTGTAACAAGAAGAAGAAGAAGAAGAAAGAAAGTTTAATTCCGCCATCATCGCAGCTAATCTGAATTACAATGTGGTTACAATCGTACAACAATAAAAATTACAAAAGTTGATCAAAGAGGGACTGAGTTACAAAGGGTTTTAGAAATAAAATTACAGATAAATTTATGCTTATACAAGTTGAATGGGCGTATATATAGTCTAAAAGTCTAATAATTATTAAAATCTAGGCTAGTACTTGGGAAAAAAACTACGAAGTAAAGGGGACAAAGCTGGATATTATTGAGGCCAGCGGCTCACTACAAGTGTGCGCGAGTCTGAAGAGTGGAGCTAAAGCAGCCATTCACGCCATGCACGGTATATTTGATACTGATGATGCAGATGCCATGTTACTAATTGATCCATCGAACGCTTTTAATTTGTTGAACAGGGCTTCTGCCTTGCATAATGTCGTTGTTCTTTGTCCTACTTTAGCCACATGCGCCACCAACACCTATAGGGCTCCTGCGCATCACTTTGTCACGGGTGTTAAAGAACTAAAATCTACAGAGGGCACTACACAGGGTGATCCCTGAGCAGTGAGCTTCTCTGCTATAAGCCTTCAGCCTTTAATCACACATCTCAATTCATCCAGCAACGCAAGCAATGCTGGTACGCTGCTGATGCAACAGGCGCTGGTTCGCTCGAGGAGCTAAGGAGGTGGTGGGACGGGCTAAATGAAATGGGACCTAGCCTGGGGTATTACCCCAATGCTAAGAAATGCTGGTGAATCAATCACCAAACCAGAAGAGGAAAATGAAGCGATGGAATTATTCGGTGACACGGCAATAAAAATGTCGACTAAAGGCCAAAAACTTCTGGGCGCCGTGCTATACTCTAGAACTTACTTAGAGCAGTACATGAAAGGGAAGGTAGAGGTGGGGGTCGAGCAAGTGGTGAAGCTCGCAGAATTCGTTGCAGCTAATCCACAAGCCTCATATGCAGCCTTCACTATTGGATTGAAACATCGTTGGACTTATCATCTCAGAACACTGCCTGATATAGAACTGGTAGAGGCGCTAGAGCGCGCAATAGGCAATGTCTTCATACCCGCCATGACAGGGCACACTTGTACACCCGCTGAGCGTGAATTGCTAGCACTTCTGGTGAGGCTAGGGGAACTGGCTCTCAAAAACACATGCGAAACGCGACTAAGGAGTATGAAGCCTCAATCAGGGTAACACAGCCTCTAGTGAAGGAGATAGAGGCTCGGGCACTCGAGCTCCCGGTGGGAGAGAGTTCAGGGATGCCGTTCATCTCCGCTATGACTGGCACATAGCTGACACGCCCTCAACTTGTATTTGCGGAGATGCTTTTACGGTGGATCATGCCAAGGTGTATAGACGAGGAGGATTCATCATCCAGATGCATAACAAGCTGCGTGATCTTGAGGCCGATTTTCTAAACATTGTTTGCCACCATGTGCAAGTGGAACCCGTTCTCCAGGAGATAATAGGAGAAGTGCTGACGAGGGGTGCGAACCCAGCACAGGATGCCCGATAAGATGTTCACGCTCGTGGGTTCTGGGATAGGCAAGGCTCTACCTTTTTTGACTTAAGGGTTTTCCACCCAAACGCAGAGTCTTACAAAGATCTCATCTTTCAGCAAATTTATCGCAAACATGAAGATGAGAAGAAGCGGTTATACGCGAACAGAGTTTTGGAAGTTGAACGAGGGAATTTTACACCTTTAGTCTTCACTACTACCGGAGGCATGGCGGTCGAATGCAAGCGTTTCAACAGTAGATCAGCGGAACTCGTATCTATTAAGACTTATCCCTTCACTTGCACCTCCGCCAATGTAATCTATTGCATAACTTGCACTTATTGCAAAAAGATATACATCGGCGAAACAGGCAGAAGACTTGTCAAGGAGGTTAGCTGAGAGTTCAGGGATGCCGTTCATCTCCGCTATGACTGGCACATAGCTGACACGCCCTCAACTTGTATTTGCGGAGATGCTTTTACGGTGGATCATGCCAAGGTGTATAGACGAGGAGGATTCATCATCCAGATGCATAACAAGCTGCGTGATCTTGAGGCCGATTTTCTAAACATTGTTTGCCACCATGTGCAAGTGGAACCCGTTCTCCAGGAGATAATAGGAGAAGTGCTGACGAGGGGTGCGAACCCAGCACAGGATGCCCGATAAGATGTTCACGCTCGTGGGTTCTGGGATAGGCAAGGCTCTACCTTTTTTGACTTAAGGGTTTTCCACCCAAACGCAGAGTCTTACAAAGATCTCATCTTTCAGCAAATTTATCGCAAACATGAAGATGAGAAGAAGCGGTTATACGCGAACAGAGTTTTGGAAGTTGAACGAGGGAATTTTACACCTTTAGTCTTCACTACTACCGGAGGCATGGCGGTCGAATGCAAGCGTTTCAACAGTAGATCAGCGGAACTCGTATCTATTAAGACTTATCCCTTCACTTGCACCTCCGCCAATGTAATCTATTGCATAACTTGCACTTATTGCAAAAAGATATACATCGGCGAAACAGGCAGAAGACTAGGTGACCGATTCCGAGAACACCTTCGAGACGTGGAGAGGAAAGACAAGGACACATCGAAACCCGTCGCTACGCATTTTAATTTACCTAATCATTCTAAGCAACATATGGCAATCTGCGGTCTTTCCTTACACTTAGGTAGCACGGAAAGCCGTAAAAATCTTGAACAAAAGCTAATCTTTCAAATCGGCAGTCTAAATCCCACAGGGATCAACGAACGCTTTTCATTCCACTAATTTATTCGTGTTATTCTCGTTGCCATGTTCCCACCAATAACGTAGCTCCATTTTCTGCCTTTAAAAGCTCCCACAACTCACAATTCCTCTTTTCGCTCCGACGAAGGGCTAACGCTCGAAACGTCAGCTTTTGTAATCGTTACGGTGGCCAATTTACCATTTCAACTTTGTTGATAAATCCAAACTTTGCTAATATGCTTATTAAATTTATAGATTTTCTCTGACTTACACGAATGTATGTGGTCAAACCATAGTCTTTCAATATCTTTATCTTTGCGGATGTAGTACAGAGCACTGTCCCTGTTGGTCAATGTTTTGCACCACTCGGCTCCGCCATTTTGAATTTTTCAGCATATCTGCTGACCACTTTCGGCTGCTACCACAGGCAGACCACCAGGGAAATAGTGTTTTTTGTTTACAAAAGGTATTTTACGCAAAATTATGCATAAAAGAAACTGATGCTTTAAATTAGAGCCTTGAATGGGCGATTTTTAGTTACAAATTGCCTTAAAAAAGCAAGAAAGTTATTCAAAAAAAGAAAAAAGTTGCACGAGATCCGAAAAGTTGCTCGAAGGACTAAAAGTTGCTCCAAATCGGAAAAGTTGCTCAAAAGTTGCCGAGCAACTTATGGACAGCCCTCTTTTTATACATCAGCTGGGCGTAAGCCATGCATAAAGGACACTTAAGTCAATTATTCTGTTATAAATAATTATTTTTGTCATAATCTTTATTGTTGTTATTATTATTTCAATTCTCTCCAGTTGTCGTGTGTTCCACTGGGTAACGTCGTTTGTGTCTCAGCAACCTCCCGTAGCTCAGAGACACAACACTTTTCGCAACAAATAAGCAGTTCCAAGGATGGCCGATAATTGAACACTTCCCAGGAAGTCAGGTACTCCTAACTTGCCAAACGAGGCCTTTGATCTTTTCGATATGCTTCCGAGAGTACTAATCACGATAGGTATTATTGTGACTTTCGAGGCTCCATAGAGCCTTCTTTTTTCGTATGCTAGTTCCTGGTATTTTTCCACCTTCTCCTCCTCGGTCCGGGTAATGTTCTGATCCGCTGGCACAGCTATGTCAATAAGGGTCCATTTCTGTGTGTATTTATGAATTAGGGTAATGCTCCAGTCTTTATAAATTGGGGTAATGAGGATTATGCCTCAGCACTTTGTCTGTGTAGATAGTAATGTCCCAGTTGATCCTCACTTCTCCATTTTCTGCGATTGACAAGGGTTTGTGGTCATACCACTTGTCAGTACACTCTATTCCATATTTTCTACACATCTCCCAGTGCACCTGCAGAGCCACCTTGTCGTGGCGCTTCCTGTACTCTCTCTGGGCAAGCTTCTTGCATCCACTGATAATGTGTCTTACTGTTTCAGTGGTTTCTCCACACAGTCTACACAGTGGCGTTTCTGAAGTCTTGTCTACGCTATACTTGATCGAGTTTGTTCTTAGAGCCTGTTCCTGAGCCGCCAGAATCAAACCTTATGTCTCCTTTTTTAAAAATCCGTACCTTAACCATCTCCAGGACTCCTCTCCTGCTTTATCTGATATTTGTTGGATGAACTCACCGTGTAGGGCTTTCTCCTTCCAGTTTTTAACTTTCTCTTCTTTCTTCCTCCTCTCGTAGTTCTGTAGGCTCTCTTCTTCAACAATAACCTTCTCCTTCAATGCAGCTTGAAGCATCCATTCTGTGCTCTCACTCAGATCACCTTGAAGAAATTTGCTCTCCCTCTTTATACACTCTTCGATGCCAATCAGTCCTCTTCCCCCTTCCTTTCTTGGCAAGTACAGCTTCGCAACGTTACTCCTTCAGTGTAGACAGCCATTCATTGCCAATATCTTCCTAGTTCTTCTATCTATGCCGGCTACCTCTTATGTTATTATTATTATTACTATTATTATTATTATTATTATTCTCAATACGCAGATTCGTATCGAGAACTGTCTCCGAAACAGATATTCCAACTACATGAAAATGAGAAGAGGCAATACAACAGGCGGGTTTTCGAAGTGGAGCAAGCGACATTCACACCATTAGTTTTTACAAGTACAGGTGGAATGGCCGATGAATGCAAGAGATTCCATAGCCGCCTCGCAGAGTTACCTGCGTTAAAGAAAGGAGATGACTACGCTACAACCATATCTTAGATAAGGGCGAAGATATCCTTTGCCATTCTACGTTCAGCTTTGCTTTCTCAGAGGAACCAGGAGAAAGAGAAGAGTAGCCAATATATCTTACACTGACATTACATCGGAAAGTGCGCATCCAGAATTTAAGTGGTCAATTCTTTATTATGTAGCTTAGTTGTCTGAATTTTTCTTTTTTTTTTAGAGAACTGTTTTTTGTGAAATACTTTTAAGGAAAAATTTATTATTATTATTAAGGACGTCGATCATGTATCGTCAATTTATTTGCTGTTCTGCTGAATGAAGCTGAAGCAAAATAATGCAGATATAAGATGAATTCTGCTACTCTGTAGAACAGTTGTTAATACCGAAGAGATTCAAGACTTTTCTCTCAGCTAGAGACTTTTTAAACTTGTTCTAATATTTATACCTTAATTTGGCTTAATTTTGTTTGTTATCCTGTATTTTTACTGATTTTGTGAAATAAAAATTATCATACTTTAAAATTATTATTATTATTATCATCATTATTATTATTATCAGTGCATAAGAACTGTGCCGATCTGTACAAATCTGGTGAAACAACAAGCAGTGTTTATATGATCAACTCCCTACCCTTACTCTCTCTTAATGTTCTCATTGTCGCTCACCCCCTTGACAACAATTTCTTTCCAACTCCAACCTACCGCTTCCATTGAAATCAAAGATGACGATCACTAAAGCTCGCTAAAGTTACGGCTGCTCTGCAGGCTATTTAGCAAGATAATTTCGTCCGCCATCTTGTCTCTTGAATTTCAACTCCATTTTATTCTACGAGTTTTTTTTGTAAAGAACTTTGTTTTCTTGCAGCAAGCCAAATCTTCTTAGTCTATTGAAAGATCAAAGGCTCTGTGAGCCAACTCGAGAATTGGATAAGCCAATGTAATTTGTGTCGTCAATAGAAATGGGTGTTTGATTTTCATACTATGGTATGAATCGTTAGACTGGTAAATGAGCATTATGAGGAATATGATGTGAAACTAAATTAGGCCTCAAAGAAAGAAAATATGGCCTGATTAGTTTTTGGTGCAAGACAGTCACTGTTCCAGATTTTACAGTAAAGGTTTGTGGAATGAAAGTTCAAAAGGGTGCTGTTTTGTTTATCATAAAACTATTGTTCCAATATTGAGCTCAGTATTTACTTGCGATGCAAGCATAGGGATAGGCATTTAAACGCTTATACGCTGGATGGAACGCACGGACATAAGGATAAGCATATATGCATAAGATTATCAAAACGTTTCCTTCTTTTTATGCTTATACTGTCTAGTTAAGACTTGGTTGGCATAAGCGTAAGGATAAACAT